CAATTACTTGTCTTGGATGGGCATCAACTAATAAGATCACATTGGTTTAGTACAGTGCTTTTCAAACTTAGCAACTTTAAGATACGTGGACTTCAGCTCCCAGAATTCCCAGCCAGCATGATGTATCACATCAATCTTTCCAATATGAGGCAACTTTTATAAGTTAAAATGGTTGAGGTATCTGGTTCAGTGAGATAGGTGAGTGTGAGGTAGAGCTGCTATTTTACTGGTGAGTAACTCCATTTTGGAAATATTTTCCTCAGCATTTTTTGCCTAGTACCTATTTCAATATTCTTTCAAGACCCAGCAAAACCTGTTTTATTTTCTAAGCTTTTCATTTCTGCAGCTTTACCCCTTGTTATTTTTGATTTCCCCCCCATTGTTTATCAATTCCTAATCACTCTTGTGTGTGGTCAACCATTGGAACCTATAAATAAATTCTCTTGATAATATTTTATAGTGAACTGATTTGGAGAGAGATATAGAAACAGAGATATAAGATTCATGCAATATGTATTGGAGCAAATGGTAAATATTAAATACATGCCTTAAAATTATGCCTTTTTAAAGTTCTCATATTTGCACAGAAACCGCTTCAGGGAAACCAATAATCTGCAAACCAAAGTAGTCCTAAAATTCAAGAGGAAATAAAAAGAGGAAACCAAATGACTTTATGTCAATGAGATACTGATATCATTGACATAAAGCCATTTGGTTTTTCATGGCACATGAACTTTCAGGAAATCTAAGCCATTAAAAAGAAATGTAACAATATTCCCTGTGAAAAAGTTATCCATTGAGGTCATAAAGGTCTTTTTTTCCTGGGCTTTCTGTGGTTTTGACACCAACAGCAATAGATCTGTTGGTCACAGTAAGGAAGAGCCAACAGGTTTCCAATGGAGTCTTGAAACCTTGAAAGATTATGAAAATGAATCCCTTTTCAAAAGAAACCTATGATGGATGTCTGGCTCACAGGTCATCCCCTGCCTTTCTCCAAACTTTAACAAGAGGTTATTAAAGAAAATGCATTCATGGGGAAAGAAATCGGAAATGCATTTTCACTTCAGCAGAGATCAAATTGAAGCAACCCTCAGCCAGTCCCGGATCTTACATGTGCTTTGTGGTATCCTAAATGAGAACAACACCGTTCCCTGCCACCTGGATCTCTCGGCAGTTGTCTAATGCCTCTGTTAAAATTCCGGTCAGCTTCTTCCAATCAAACCCTGGAAAGGAACAAGGTTCTCCAAATCCATGGGTAAAGTGGCAGTAAATTAGTGGCTTATGGATAAATATGTGCTCATCAGCACCCTGGTGGCAACAGTACAGAGATACAAACAAGCGTTCCATTGGCACATTAACCCTTTCAACTCTCATCGGAAAGTTCTTCTAAATTAGACTTTTCTTTTCTATTTTTTTTAAAAAAAAGAATACCGGGATGTGTGTGGAAGTAAAATAACATCAAGACTCTTGAATTTAAATGGCACTTTTTGGTTACATAATGTTAACAGTAAACATAAGAAAATTAACAGTAATCACTCCTATGCATGCTCACTTTGGCTACTTCTTTTTAAAAAGACGTTTTCATAAGAAGAGCCATCCCTAAGCATTATGCCAATATTAATATAGTGGATACTTAGATGAGAGAGGGGAAAAAAGGCAAAAATCACCCAGATCTCCTGCTTTTTTAATAGTTTTTTTAAACCAGATTTTGACTTCAGATATAGAATATTTTAAATGGAAGACTCTCCATGTACTACAAAGGAGCTGGACATTTTGCTTCCTTATGTTGTTTGTTGGGGAGAAAAACTTTCCAAGTTCATTCATCCAACTACTAGATAGGAATGTTTCCCCTGTTGTTGACTTTACTCATTCCCACTATCCAGAATTATTTGGGAAGCCTGCTTAAACAGATAAATTACAACTACCTTTTGATCTCAAGTACAGGAGCAGTGGAAGAGGCCTAGTTGGATATAAGTCATGGAATGAGGGTGACTTCCAAAGGCACTGCAGCTGAGCATTACTTCCACCAGCTCCAACCAAAATAGCCAATGGCTAGTGGGTTAAGTTCAGCAAGATCTGAAAGGTCAACAACTTCTTCACTTTAGTTCAGAACTCTCACCAAACACGTTCTTATTAGCAAATAATACATTTAATAGAAGAAATGCACATTGTACTCTATGCCAGGAAGAGTTCAGTATGGGAACCCATCTTTTGTTTAAAATAAATTAAAGAAAAATTTAAAGTGGCTGTGGAGCCAGTTTCGTTCGGAACCCATTCCAACTCTTCTGAAAACCACTGTTGCATTTTTACACATAAACAACTACCATACTTCCTATGCTTTAGAGGCAGATGGAAATTTAGTGGGGCATGATGGAGAGCTGATTATGTTACAGGTAGTCCTTGACTGATGACCACAATTGAGCTCAAGATTTCTGTTGCTAAGTGAGACAGTTGTTGAGTGAATTTTACTCTATTTTATGACCTTCCTAACAACAGTGTTGTTAAGTGAGTCACTGCAGTTGTTGAGTTAGTAACATGGATGTTAAGTGAATCTGGCATCCCCGTTTGCTTTGCTTGGCAAGTCCCCAAAAGTGATCACATGACACTGCATCTGTCATAAATATGAATCAATTGTCAAGCATCTCCATGTTGATCACATGACCATAGGGATGCTGCAATGGTCATTTTACATGTGAAAAATGGTCATAAGTCACTTTTTTCAGTTCCTTTGTAACTTTGAAGGTCACTAAATGAACTGTTGTAAGTCAAGGAGGAGGAGGAAGAGGAAGAGGAAGAGGAAGAGGAAGAGGAAGAGGAAGAAGAAGAAGAAGAAGAAGAAGAAGAAGAAGAAGAAGAAGAAGAAGAAGAAGAAGAAGAAGAAGAAGAAGAAGAAGAAGCCTAAAATTTACTTAAGAATAGATGTCATTGTATAATGAAATCAAGTGGTTTTAGAAAAGAAATTCTAAAAAAAAAGTACACCTCGTGTAGGTGGTCCAGATTTCACTGATGTAAAACAAGCCTCCTTGCTGGAAACACATATTTGTAATCTTGCCATAGATAGCAATTAAAACATCTGTTGCTGGAAAGCAGGTGGTATAACACAGAGAAATGTCTCTGGAAGAAGAAAAGAAGGAAGGAAAGTATAATTATATACTTTTAATTTATATTTATAGTAAAACTTTGAAAGTGGCTTTGTATAATGAAAAGACATTTTTAGGTAAACACACATGGGTATAGTTTAACTTCCTGCTAGCACTATGAGAAAAGCTGTCTTAGATATGATCACCTGTCCATCCAATCTAATATTCTACCACACAATATTCAACATCTCCTACAAAAAAGCCAACAGCAAGGTATGATAATCACAATAGATGCGGCTCCCTGGTTAAGTCTTGTCAGAGACTGCCTACCACTAAGCCTGAAGCTGTTTAGCTATCATGGCTCATAGCCACTGAGTTACCATATGGTAAGCCATCCAAATGAATGGATGGCTTTCATCCCATCCCCATTGCAATAAATTTCATGGATTTATGATACGACCTAACTTTCTGCAAAGACTTAACTGCTCTTTAGAAGGCCAGATCCTGAAGATGAAACTCAAATACTTTGGCCACCTAATGAGAAGGAAGGACTCACTGGAGAAGAGCCGAATGCTGGGAATGATTGGGCAATAGAAGAAGGGGACGACAGAGAATGAGGTGACTGGATGGAGTCACTGAAGCAGTAGGAGTGAGCTTAAATGGACTCCAGAAGATGGTAGAGGACAGGAAGGCCTGGAGGAACCTTGTCCATGGGGTCACAATAGGTCGGACATGACTTCGCAACTAATGACAACAACTTTCCACAGGCCTTCCCAGGCAATAAGTTTGCAAGATTTTCCTCACATTGCCCCAATATTTTTTTTCTTCTTTTAGGAAATTCTACACTTGTATACATGAGAACTTTTTGAAGTTATGATGTTGATTTACTCATTAAACCTTGTACGTAGTCCTCGACTTACGTTTAGTGACCATTTAAAGTTAGAACAGCACTGAAAATGAGATATATGACCATTGTTCACAGTTATGACCTTTGCAGCATCCTCATGGTCATGTGATCAAAATTCAGGTGCTTGGCAACTGGTTCATATTTATGATGGTTGCTGTGTCCCAAGGTCATGTGATCCTCTCTTGCGACCTTCAGACAAGCAAAATCAATGGGGAAGCCAGATTCACTTAAAAATCGGGTTACTAACTTATCAACTGCAGGGATTCACTTAACAGCTGTGGCAAGAACGGTGGTAACATGGGGCAAAACTCACTGAACAAATGTTTCACTCAACAACAGAAATGGTGGGCTCAATTGTGGTCATAAGTCGAGGACTACCTGTATAAGTTCATGCCATTTTTCATGACTTCAAAATCAAATCCTTACTTAGTCCCTCATATATTCATACAAGCAAGTAGAAAAGAGACTTTCTTTGATTTTTTTTTTAAATCATCCCTCTTGAGCTGTAAATGCCAGATTGCACACAAAAGTTAACGATTTTCTCTTCACTGAAATTAAAATATCTTTAATAATATTTCAAGGAAGAACAGCTTGTTCACATTTGATACGTACGGCAACCTAGCTGAAGATGCTGATTTACTGAAAACTTCCAGCAGTGGTGTCCATGCACGTGACATACTGACAGTTGTGAATTCTTTTAAAATCGGTTTCTGTCTGTCATACCTATGTAGTTAGAAAATAACAAAGGGATAATAAAACTCAATTGTATATGCACAGTTTGAGATCTCTATTGACAGATCTTCACAGTGAAAGCTGCCATAAGAAAACCTGATTATGTAGCCCTCCGTTAAAGGATCTGAAAACCTTTCTTTTGTCTCTGCACTCTTACACAATTTCTATAATTCTCAGTCTCTTAAACAATTCTGAAGAGTGACAGAACCTCAATTGGTCCTCCTCTCATCAAATGATGGCAGTAGTGTTCAGGCGTTGACTATATAAGGAGAGAATTCCTACTGCTGCTTCTCTTAAAAATGCCATGCAGCTCCCTTTACAGTTTTGACGAGTGCAACAAGTGGGGACCTGTATAGAAAAACAGGCTACAACATCTTCACACTGGGCAGGTCTGTATGGTGATTTAGGCCTATTGTGAAATCCTTCAACATTAGTCAGAAACATGTAACAAGGAATGAGCAAGTTGAAAGATGAAATGAGGTCCCAGAGAGCTGGTCTTTAGTCAAAATAACAAGCAATAAATAGAAACATCTATTTATTTGTTTGTTTTATTTATTTATTTGATTTGTCAATCTCTTACAAGATAATAGGTATAAGTATATATATAATTATGAATACATGAAATGGGTACGTATAAGAAAAATAAAAAGAAACAAGAGGACAGGGACGGTAGACACGTTGGTGCGCTTAGACCTCTTAGGAAAGGGGTGAGGTCAATAGTAGACAGTCTAAGGTTAAAGTTTTTGGGGTTTGGGGACCACAGAGTCAAGTAGAGTATTCCAGACATTGACCACTCTGTTGCTGAAGTTGTATTTCCTGCAATCAAGTTCGGTGTGGTTAACCTTGAGTTTGTATCTATTGTTTGCTCTTGTGTTGTTATGGTTGAAGCTGAAGTATTCATTGACAGGTAAGTCATTGCAATGTATGATTTTATATACCATACTTAGATCAGACCAAAGACAGCGTAATTCAAGGTTTTCTAGGTCTAGAATTTCAAGTCTGGTGGCATAAGGTATTCTACAACGAGTAGAGGAGTGGAGAACTCTTCTAGTGAAATATTTCTGGACTTTCTCAACTGTGCTAATATCAGATACGTAATGTGGGTTCCAGACTGAGGAGCTGTATTCGAGTATTGGTCTAGCAAATGTTTTGTATGCTCTAGTTAGTAGTGTGATATTACCAGAGAAAAAGCTATGCAGGATTAGGTTAACAACTCTTAATGCCTTTTTGGCTATGTAGTTAGAGTGGGCTCTAGCACTTAGGTCATTAGAGATGAGTACTCCAAGATCCTTTACAGAGCTTGGATCATCAACAAGGTCTTGACTATTCACTTGACTATCTAGTTCAGGGTTGTCTAACTTGCGGCCCACAGGCTGGATGCGTCATGCATTGGCCATGTCCACACCCAATTTAGTGAAGGGGGAAAAAGTCCTGATACATCACATGACGTCATTGTGATGACATGAGTTTGACACCCCTGATCTAGTTGCTGCTTGCTGTGTTTTCATTTTTTCCCCCTTCCATGAGATATTGAATGTGAATGACTCATTTCCCCAACCTGGTGCACTTCCGTTATATGACATCTACTTTCACATTTTAGAGTCAAAATGGCCAAGTATCTGGGGAGGGAGGCTAGAACTTGTGAAGTAGATTCCTATTGCCAAACAAATCCTATTGCCCATTGTGCCTGCCCATCACCATTTCTACTGATTGCAATCATAGGAAGTGATGAGGATAGTCGGAGTTACGAGTGAAGGATTTGGAAGGCCTACATTTGGCTTTCTTCGGAGAAGAGAAAGATGAACTGAACAGACATCACTGGATTCCAGAACAATGGAAAATACTTCACTTCTTGAAGCAAAGCAGCGAATTGTTTCCCCACTTAAATCAAAATGCATATTTAAATTATTTGGGCAAACCAAGGGGGGGGGGGAATCATACAAATCCCTTTCCACATTTTCTGAGAGTAAAAATATAACCATAAAGAATGAAATCCTTTCAAGGTAACTTCAGTTTGAAATCCTTTCAAGATACCCCAATAATTGTCTGAAACAATGGATTTTCTCAATCAGAGTTTGGATCCCTGACTCCATACTTCCTTATGGACTGGGCTGACTCAGAGGAGATACTAAATAACAGAGATGCCTATTTGTAAAAGAGCAACTGTGTAAATATGGGGTGTGACTTGGCCACCATATGCATGAAAAGATCTAAGCAGGCTAGTGATACCCTAGAGGTGAACGTGATTGACAAAAGGCATACCTTTTTCAGATATGTATAATAAACAAACTGGTATCTGGGTTAACTAGCCTTTTGAGAAAGGCTCTAGATTTTTCTGCTCTCTACTGACCTAGAAGATAGCCCACCACAATCGCTCCAATGGAAGGAACCTGCTCCAGACCTTGTTCTGCTAAGGAATTCTGGTGGGCAGGGTCAAGGAGAAGAGCCTACAGTATATATAACTTGCATACCTAAGTCCAGTTTATACAGAGAGATTGAATCCTGTGATTAAGGTCCAACATACAACATCAAAATATGTTGGATAAGTTAACTTTAAATAAAGACAAAACAAAGCACGAAAGTCAGCAGTAGGCAAATAAAATAGGGCTTAATGACCAGAAGTACATAATTTGCTCTTTTCCTTTACTCATCAGTTCACATTCATACTTCTCATGATAGCAAAATATGTTTTCAAACATATATGAATAAAAAAAGTTTATCGATGGCTATAATCAAGGTGCTGTTTAATTAGAGAGTGAGGCTGGACAGCTCCTTAGGCATCAACTTCAGGCATATTAAGATCATCAATGAAGTAAATTAATTTTTTTCATGCCTGGAGGAGCATAATTTCTGTGAGCTTTCTTTTCCAAGGAGCTTTCAAGAACACCTGCCAAGAGAATGGAAGATGCATGGGAATAATCACTGTGGTTCAGCTGTAGGAAGAGCTACGTGGGTCAAATAGGGCATGATTATCACATCAGCTCATTTATATACATTTCCACAAGATAATTACAAGCCTCCAAAGAGTGAAACACCCCAAAAGTACTTTAGGAAAATTATCTGATGCTTACAACTGGAATGGGGTAGAATGGCAGGTTTTAAAGATAGCCTGTCCATTGAGAAATGGCGATTTCCCCCAAAAAGTGTGTTCCTATAACACCAATTGAGGGGAAATAGCAATGGCAGTTGCAATAGCACTTAGACTTATATACAGCTTCATAGTGCTTTACAGCCCTCTCTAAGCAGTTTGCATAGTCATCCTATTGCTCCCAACAATCTGGGTCCTCATTTTACTGACCTCAGAAGGTTGGAAGGTTGAGTCAATCTTGAGCTGGTCAGGATCGAACTGCTGGCAGTCAGCAGAACTAGCCTGCAAAACTGCATTCTAACCACTATACCACAATGGCTTCTTAGCGCTTAGTTAATGTGGTCTGCTATGCTTTTGAAAGCATAAATCTTAGATTGCAGGTTCCCCCCCACCAGCCCCCCAAGCAATATCTTTAGTTTCCTAAGAATGAACTCCTGGCTGAGTCTTCCACTTTTTGGGGTAGAAGAGCTGATAACATTAAAACAACCCTATGGGGAATGTCTTTGCATCAGTTTCTTACTACCTGCTTTGTTAAAAATGGTTTCAACCATGCTTTTGCCTTGTTAAGATTACTGCTTTCCAGTTAGTCTTGGCTCTTGGCAAGAGTTAAGAGTAAGAGACTCGGTGGCGCAGTGGTTAGAGTGCAGTACTGCAAGGTATTTCTGCTGCAACCAGTTGCCTGCAACTTGGCAGTTCGAATCCCACCAGGCTCAAGGTTGACTCAGCCTCCCATCCTTCAGAGGTGGGTAAAATGAGGATCCAGATTGTTGGGGGCAATAGGCTGACTCTGTAAACTGCTTAGAGAGGGCTCTAAAGCACTATAAAGCAGTATATAAGTGTCATGCCCCTGGTGGAGACTGACTCTGAGGAACAGGAGGAACAGCCAACAGGGAGTGGGAGTGTGGCTCCAGAGGTGGTGGAGGAGGCTGGGGAAGGGCAGAGGCTGGCTGAGCAGTCAGAGGAGGACCCAGGCCCATCCCCTATCTATCCTAGGGCACGCAGGGAGGAGAGGATCAGGGAAAAATGTGGTCTACTCGGGAGGAGAGGGCCATGATCCTCTTCATGGGTTGCAGGTATAGATTTGCATAAGAGTTTAGACCTGCATGCTAACAGACGCTGGAGACAAATTAGTGTTTTATTCCTAAAGAAGGTTTATCTTGGTTGGCATTCTTCCAAAGGACTGTCCCTGGTTATCTTCCTGAAGTTGGCAATTATCTATCCTGGTCTGTTGTGGAACTTTATTTAATGCGGTTTGTTTTTGGTTTTTGTTTCATTATCAGCTGTTTGAATTTGAACTGTGTTTCTTTCCTTTGAAATGTTATTTTGAAAATAGTTTACTCCTCCACTGTGAACAATTAAACAGTGAAGCCAACTTGAAGGCATTAAAGGACTTTTAGTTATGTTTTGGGTTTTGTTATATTTCTGATATACTCTGGGTCATCACAAGAAGTCTAGGTGCTATTGCTATTGTTTATTGACAACTGCCTGGAGAAGTTCCTTCAGTTTACTTGGCAAGATTTATCAGGAGCAGTCATTGCCTTCTTCCTAGGGATGAAGGCCTGACCCTTAGGTTGGGGCCTAAGGTCACCCAGCTGGCTTTGTGCCTAAAGCAAGACTAGAACTCATGGTCTCTCAGTTTCTAGCCTGCCAAGCCACTATGCAGAACTGGTTGTTTTTAAAATATTTTATCTGATCTTATTTGGTATGGGATTTTTTTTTTTTTCAGGAGCAGATTTTTCATCAGGATTTTTTTTTTTAATGGGAGGAGCGGTCTCTTAGGGCCATATGATCATGAGAAGAGCAGGACCAGAGATTTTGGGATTTTTTAGCATAGTGGCAGGATCCGTGTCTTTGATTTGTGTCTTTGACTGGAGCACCCTGAAACATAACAGATATTGTGTTATTGATGGGGACCTTCACAACTAAATATGTACTTTTACTCATCTGATAACTTGGTCAATGACTGTTGATATGATGAGCATTTTTCCAACTGTATTATTTCCCACCAAAATAGTTGACCACGCCTTCTCCAAAAGGAAATCCACAAAATGCCTTAAGCAAATAGGTTTTAGCTGCATGAATCAACATGATCTGATCCTACAGCTCAGGCACAGAACTGTGTGAACTTTTGAGACAAGAAACAAGATAAATGTTGTGCCTCTAAAACTGTACTTTCACAAATCTAAATCAATGTATTGTTTTTAATGTCTCAATTCCAATGGCAGAAAGTAAATTTATACAATAAAATTAAACAAATGGAAATATATAATGGTTACACAGATTTGATGCTTGTCACAATTTTAATTTGTAATAACAATGAATGATTTTTGACATTGTAAAGTTCAGAAGCTAAGTAGCTGTTTTAGCAAGATTACATTATAAAGCATTTGTAACTCATTGTGATGGAATACTGCATTTTGTTGTCACTTATAATCCAGTGAAATGTAAGATAAGTATTATTGCAATGTCTATATTCATATTTTCAAATATTAATGACATGCTATAAACTAAGTTACAGTGGTACTCCATATGATTATGTTGAATAATATAACATGGACACAAATGATGAAAAATGATGTATCAGATTGCCTTTGCCAATAAACTGGATTGAAATTTCTATCCAAGGAGATCAGAAATAAAATTGGGAGTTTGAGTAAATATGGCAGCAATAGTATGATTCAGAGAAAGGCTCCTATTTCTTTTTAAAATGAACTTGCTTATAGGGTTTAATGTTTACCTCCCCAGGTAGTTCATTCACACCTCTGAAAACAGGTGTATCAATAGCAAAATGAAATATGAAGTAAGCTTGCGTAGGAGATAACACTAGAATCCGGTAGGCAAGAAAAAGAGATAGCTCTCTCTATAAATGGAAAAATAAAGTATAGCTCCATAATGGATTGTGATTTTTATAAGCCCTGGAAATACCTGAGGAGGCAGACAGAAAAATGTGCGTTCCTGAAGTGAAAGATACCTGCTGAATATTGAATGCAGCCCATTGCTTCAGATGAACATATTCTAGCTGCGTCTACAATGTTTGTATGAATGTTGTTAGAGAGTTGGATATGGTTCACATTTAGATGTGAATTCACAAGGTGTGCACTTGAAGAGACTCTAATGTGAATATAGGTAGTCTTTATTCTTTATTGGCTAAATGTGATTGGATACACAAGGAATTTGCCTTGGTGCAAATGCTCTCAGTGTACATCAAAGAAAAGATACATTCGTCAAGAGTCAAGAATCATAAGGTACAACACTTAATAATAGTCATAGGGTACAATAAGCAATCAAATCATACTAGAAAACAGTCAATATAGATCATAACGATACAAGCAACAAGGTTACATGTAGGTAGTCCTCAAATTATGACCACAATTTATCCCCAAATTTCTGTTGCTAAGCAAGACATTTGTTAAGTGAATTTTGCCTCATTTTACAACCTTTCTTGCCAAAGTTGTTAAGTGAATCACGGCAGTTGTTAAATTAGTAAATTAGTAACTTGAATCTGGTTTCCTCATTGATTTTGCTTGTCAGAAGGTCTCAAAAGATGATCCCATGACCCCAGAACACAGTAACCATCATAAATATGAGTCAGTTGTCAAGCATCCAAATTTTTATCATGTGACCATGGGGATGCTACAAAAATCATAAGTGTGAAAAATGGTCATAACTCACTTTTTTCAGTGTTGTTGTAACTTCAAACAGTCATTCAATGAACTATGTTTGGCCAAGGAGTACATGTATACATTGAAGTCTACCATTTTTGAAAAAAAGTGTGGTGGAGTTTGGCTAAAAAGTGTGCTGAGAAAATGTGGGTGTTAAGGAAAAGAGAGAACACAACTGTGTATTTTGGAGGGGAAAAGAGACATACAAGTGAATCCGCTTATAGAAAATTACTTGTGGGAAAAATGTATAAATATTGAAAAAGTGGACAAAAAGGCAGATATTCAGAGAATGTTTCAGATTTTGTGGAGATGGTGCTGTGTGATAGAAAAATGGCACAGAATGAACTTAACCTCAGAAAAATGAGAACCTGAATGAAATTGAACTTGGCAGATATGCCTATCCTTAATGTGTACACAGTATGTGAATATATTTCTGCTCAAATTGCAAAAATAAAAGCATTGCTAAGAAATTTTAATCAAATGAGGACATTAATTAATTGTGACATTGGGTGCAGTTTCTACATGAGTGATTAATGGATATTGTATATAATGTTGGGTAGGTTAATTAACTTATCTTTGTTTAGTTTAACCAGTTGGAAAATGGGCATAATATTATTCCATTGTATCACAGGAATTAGGTGAGATTAGAGCTTTGGAACACTCAAGTCACAAATTTCATTTAAGGAGAAAATATTTTACTGTGACATAAAATACAGGTGCATATGCAGACACACACATATACATATACATATACATATACATACATACATACATACATACATACATACATACACATACATACACATACACACACACACACACATATATATATTAAGACTCACAGACGGACACAATACAGAAGCCTGATGATGGCAGATGAGATTCTGCTGAAACGTTGCTACAACTTTAAAAGCACCACTACTATGACGTGGGAAAATACCCGAACAAAGCTGAAGGCCATACATGTAAGTACCCGTGAAA